ACACTATTATCCCAATCATTACACACAAATCACAGGAAAAATTACAAAATTTTTCCACAGTACGTAATCATAATTTCAATAAAAAATAGTAAATAACATTATCATTAGGAAACGCAAAACTCTCATGGATTTATATCTGTGGGAATGAGAGGTAATCGGGGCTGACCTGAGGAAAAGAATAGCTCCTATTCCTTGTATTAAGAGCCCTTCACCATTATAAAGACAATTGTCTTGAAGGAAAACAAATGCATTGATCATAAGAAAAAAGTAACGATCGTAAAAGAAAAAAAAATCGAACCTGCATGAGGTTTACAGGGTAAGATAAGAGATAAGATTTCATTCGGATTTTTAACCCCGGAGGGTTAGCCACCCAGGATAACCCAAGAAAGTCAGTGCGTCATCGAGGACTGTCTAACTTAGTATTTCCATTGGGTCCACAATCTTGTCCCCCAGGATGCGACCCACACCAGTCGACTAACACCCAGGTACCTATTTGCTGCTAGGTGAACAGGACAACAGGTGTAAGGAAATGCGTCGAAATGTTTCCACCCACCAGGAATCGAACCTGGGCCCTCCGTGTGTGAAGCGAGAACTTTAGCCACCAGGCCACTGGGCCTGGTGGCTAAATCGTTACGTGCAAGTAATTTGGGTGAGATAAGTGGGACTTAGTCACAGTAGGTTGCAGGACTGTAACTTCCTCAATGCCCACTTCATTAGCACTCTCACAAAAAGCTAGACCTGACATTAAATTTACAATTAATAATTGCAATATTAAAACCAGCTACTCTGATAAACTGAAGTTGTGTGGACTGTATATGATTAAGCTTGCTGGATACACACAATATAATTATTGAAAGTTAAGACACATGTGCAACATCTGGTTATCTTTATTGTAGACATTTTGCCATCCAGTGGCTTTATCAATACAGATTTAAGGACATAATTAGAAGACAGTAGAACTATATACAAAAGATGAGGTAATCAGTCCCTCAGCCTTGGAGTTGGTGTTGAGAGCACCATGGTAGTAAAGGTTTTGGAGAAAAGGCAAGGAGATTGGTGTTTATATAGGCATCAGTGGATAGGGACGTGTAGGAAACGGTTAAATTAAGAAATTGTGACAACATTATTATGATAAAACATAATAACACTGTACGAAATATCTTGCAGGTACAATTTTTTTTTCTGAAAGCCATCAACCAGTGGTTATAAGGACAAATTATTGTGGTTCGGAAAGTGGAAGATGCAGCTCATTGTGGAAGTAACCGGTGCGAAATAATACTGGATCAAGTGGTAGCATCCTCAGCTCATAGTGAACAACCAGGGATCGATCCTCAGTACAGGTAAAATGCTTGGCATGTTTCCTTACACTTGCTGCCCCTGTTCACTTAGCATTAATGGAGATGCATTGGTGGTGAAGGGCTCTTGGTTTAGAGAACTAAAGCTACCCTCCCTTTCTTTGGATTGAACTTGATTACCTCCTATTGCCCATGTGCTGTATGACCCCAATGGGTTTAGTACTTTTGCTTAAATATACACCACCTGACCTAGTCAGGTGGTAATACAGCTCCCATCTGGGAGGTCGAGGGTTCAGGCCCATGATGGAAGATCAATTCTTAATATTTTATTCATGAAAGATAAGATAAGATAAGATTTCGTTCGGATTTTTAACCCCGGGGGATTAGCCACCCAGGATAACCCAAGAAAGTCAGTGCGTCATCGAGGACTGTCTAACTTATTTCCATTGGGGTCCTTAATCTTGTCCCCCAGGATGCGACCCACACCAGTCGACTAACACCCAGGTACCTATTTGCTGCTAGGTGAACAGGACAACAGGTGTAAGGAAACGTGTCGAAATGTTTCCACCCGCCGGGAATCGAACCCGGGCCCTCCGTGTGTGAAGCGGGAGCTTTAGCCAGCAGGGGCATTCAGGACCTGGGAAACGATGTAATCAAGTTTGATCTACAAAAGAGGATAGGTCAATTTCCTTGTATCAAGAGCCTCTCATCAGTATCGAGGAAGATCAAGTCTGCACCAAGTCAGAAAATACATAATTACAATTTTTGAAATTTTATTATTAATACTATTTATATGATCTCCTTCTTGTATTAGTTATTTATATGACTAATTAAAGGAATTTTGTAGTTTCCTCAGTGGATACTTTCTCCGTGTCTTTCCCATTGGATACTTGCACAGTGTCTTTCCCTTTCATTAGACATAAGATTTTGTTGGGATTTTAGGTATTTGTTGGGATAACCCAAAATCAGTGCATGTGAGCTGAGTGAGCTCAATCACTGGCACACTCAGCTCACACACTGAGGTCTGTGGTTCGATCTCTGGTACAGCTGGAAAACATTAGGATATGTTTCCATAAGACACCTGTTGTCCCTGTTCACCCAACGGTAAAATGGGCATCTGGGTGTTAGTTGACTGGTGTGGGTCACATCCTGGGACAAAACTGACCTAATTTGCCAGAAATGCTCTGCATAACAAGCGGCTTTCTATATAGTAGTATGTCATTGATATTAACTAGGCCTGTATACTTTGTATACATACTTGTAGAAATGAAGATTATGATTATTATTATTCTTGTGATCTTTTAATCTTCTCCAGGATACAACCCACAACAATCGACTAACACCTCAGGTTCCTACTTAAAAGACTGGTTCTCTTCAAGCACAAATTTGACCTAGGAGGTCCAAATACTCCATAGTATATACAAAGAACATCAAAATTATTATTCATTTTGATCACGTGAAGTTCTAAACTCACAAGGGTCATACAGCCCTGCCCATAAGGGTCACATGGTAACTGGGAATTGGAAGGTATTTAGGTTCAATCCAAGTAAGGTTTAGTTCCCTAGATATGCCCCTCACCATCAAGGCACCTCCCTCCCTTGGGTTAAATAAAATATACTTAAATAAAACATTGGTTTTATGTACAAAGCCATTCCAGGGAAGGGACAGAGTGAAGACTTGATACAAGGAACTGACATTGCCATCCTAAGCCTCAAAACTGAATGTCTCCCATTCCCTAGTGCTATATGAACCTTAATGGTTTAGTACTTACCCATAATAATAATAAATTTCCATATAAAGAGATGCAAAGACTTACCATAATGAAGAATGTTTCAGTTGGCAGCTGAAATCACTCTGCCATGTACTGTTTTTCTCACCTAGTTTGTAAACTTATTTCTACTAATGGATTAGGGAATTTCTGAAAATAAAAAGTCAAAATTTTCTGTTTAACATGCTTGCATATTATGCATAATTTAATAAATATTAGTGTTTGTTGTTCATTTTTATAGAAATAATTATGTTGTGCAAGTACTCACATATAAATGCTAAATTCATAAGACTTTATAAATTTAAAGAATGAATGCAACTGGTAGGCTTAACCTAGCATGCATTGCTTCTGGTTCCACATTAACTGCATCTTGTTGGCATTTTTCTTATGAATATCATAACTTTATCTTAGGGACTAATGTCAAAATTAATGAGGTTTCTTTTTCTTTTATTTTTAAACAAATTAGTTACATAGTCAGGATGGCTTGTAATAGGAGGGTTGCCCTATGCATGAAAAATATATGACATTTTGACCTGCAAAAAAGTTAAATAATTATTAATATTACTATGACAGTAACTGTGAAATTGTTCTCTTCCACAGTTATGTTACACAAAAAATGGGGCTCTATATTTTGCACATACTCAGCAATATTTTTACTAGCCATTAGTTATTATCTGGTCCCCTAGAAAATGCAGTGCAGATTTTCATAGCATTATCAACAAGTGACTTGTAATTTTTTTTAATGTCTTGAAGGAATCCATCATTTGTCTGGTAACTTGCATGGTTCTTTTCTGTTTTCTTCATTTTCCCAAACCAACTGGAAAATGTTTCGTGCACTTACAATTAAAGCTTGCACTTTTAATTTGCATAATAGAATTTATATCAATGTTTAAGTTAATAATATTATTAGGTTAACTGTATGGAAATGGAATGGCCCTGACCAATAAAAGTCAAACCCTTACCTAGGATTTACACTCAGCTAGAATAATTCATAAAGCAGTGCAGTATTTGAATCTCAACAGAGCCAAATCATGTCATGCTCTATTAAGATCACAGTACAATGCTGTTATATTTCCACAATATATAATATCAGTCCAAAAAAGTGTAACACTTTGTTTGCTATGACAATATCCTCAGTGGTGTACTGTAATATAAACTTTTACACTTCAGAATGTTCTAAAACATGCGAAGATGGCAACCATTTACACAACTCATTATAGAGACAAACTCACAATTGACCACAATAATTACAGGGGTCTACCTGGAGGGAGTTCTGGGGGTCAGCGACCCTGCAGCCCGGTCCATGACCAAGCCTCTATCCTGAGATTGTATGTATTTCTGGGCATGGGTATGAGGTCTGTTGCAGCAAGGCTCAGTCAGCAACCAATATGTGGTCCCCAGTTCAAGGGCAGCACCCTACATGGTTTTAGCACTTGTCTGAATATATTATTAATATATTAATATTAATAATTTCGTCTGATGAATTTTTCTCATCCAAGAAATGAGAATTTTGTAATATTGTGAAAGTAACAGTGTAAAGTACAAGATCACCATTGTATAGACGAGGCAGTAGTGTAAAATCTTCTGAACCTGGTCTTTTTTTAAAACCCAGGATTCTAAAGTCTTTGCTGTTGCCCAATACCATTTATGAGAAGATTTACTTGATAATGTGGTGATCTTGCAATGAGCAAGGCTACCAGATCAGTCCCCAGTGTTTTTTTTTTTTTTTACACAATTTGTTACTTTAATGATATTGTAAAAATATCTTTTTACAGACAAGAATGATAACATATGATCTGTATTGAATCCACAAGTTCTTGTGCCATTAAACTGTATCTGTTTTGTACTCCACATCAGATGTCTAAGATGACTGATACAATTTATTTAGTTTTAAACAGTTAATTTGGTGTGGTCCACAGGACCAGTAATACACATACTATTACAAGGTTAGGCTTTATTCCAAATGAGAACTGCTACAACACTGTATAAATTATGACGAGAATCGGCAAATGTAAATTCGTGATTGTTCCTTCCACACATTTCTGGATCAACATACAATAACAAGCAAACAAAGTTATCTGACTGACAGGAAATGTAAAGTCGACAAAGAGAAGGAATAAGGGAAGGACCCACTTTGGGCTCAACACAGAAAAAACTGATTGCTTTAGCCTCTTTTATTGCAAAAATTTTGAGCAATGCAAGAGAATAAAACAATCACATTGTATTATTTTACAAATTTCTAGATGTAAATATGTAACAATTCAAGTACAATAAATGTAAAATTTTGGGTTAACATAATTTATAAGCCATGACAAAAAATAAACTGGAAAATTACTCTTGATAAACATCTTATGAGGATGCTACATAACAAACCCTATACAGGGTGCAGTCAGTCTAAACTCCCTCTTTCACAAAAAAAAAAAAAAAAAAAAAAAAATCCCTTACAAAATCATATAAACTGCCAACACCAGCCACAACAGCTTTCATCAGTTTCCCAGTAAAATGTGTTTTAATTACAATTAGATGAAGTAGTAAAATTATGTAGAAAATATGTCACCATTGTCCAGTGATGACAATTATTCACCTTTAAATAGATACAAATATTTCACAATAACAATGTTTGTGCAGTGAGACATATTGTCACTTCTTTATGCAGAAATTTACATGTGCTACTCTTTCATAGGAAAAAAAAAAGATCATAACTCCACATCTAATACTGACCTCATATAAAAACCTACCGTAAAAAATCGGCCACTTTGAAGCAGAGAACTTGAGTCCAGCAATGGTCCATGAAACTATCTATATGTACCTATGGAGTCCACACTATAATTTCACCATAAAATAATTATACAACTGATACTTAATTTATTTAGAACGTAAGATAAATTAAATCACATTAATTTAGTTAGCTGTAATTAAAAAATAGCAACAATATCCAAAATTAAACAATGAATACAGCAAATTAAATAATTTGCTTTCATAAATGTACACATGTCAAAAGTTTACCAAACACTTCCAAGTTACATACTGTATTCCAAAAAAACTGAAGGTGAGACATGCAAATATCTGAAGCAACTCCTGATACTTCACATGTGAAAAATCAACACTAACTTCAGAGGGCATGTGTGTAAAATATGTTACAATTACTGAGGAGATGTTCATGAAACATATGCAGTAACTTCTGTTGGAACACGTGTGAAACACTGGCAGTAACTTCTGGCACACATGTGAAACATCTGATGGCACATGTGACATATCTGATGACACACATGTACAACATTTGATGACACACTTGTGAAACATCTGATGGCACATGTGAAACATCTGATGACACACCTGTGCAACTCCTGATGGTCCATATGTAAAACATCTGATGGCATACATGTGAAACACCTGATGGCACAAGTGTGATAATAACATCTGGTGGAACATGTGAAACATCTGTAGAAACCTCTGATAGGACACATGCATATTACAGTATCTAATATAATTTGTTACATGTGACACATCTGTCGTAACTTAACTGATAGAGCATACGTGAAGAAATCCATCGTAACTTTTAAGAGGACACGTTTCAAACACCTGGAATAAATGATCCACAGTTCATGAAAGAGGAGCATGGGAGTTAAGATGTTTTACTGAAATATACAGTCTGCCATATTTACCTTCCCCCACTATACAGAGTTAACATGAATAAAAATCTGACCCTTAAAAACTGCACTTGCTATAACGATTAAATAAAAACTATGAACAAGTAATTTGACTGACTGTATATATCCACACATTTCACAGGCATAGGCATAACAGAGATTTCCCACAACCAAACTTGGATGGCAACAGCAGACAATTTGCCTGCTAACTCACCATCACAAAGCCTGGTCAATATTGTTTAACAAAATAGTCAACATTACAGGGGGTCTATATAACACAATTGTATCCCAGAATGGAATTGGCTTCCTACACTCTACTGATCAAATATTAACAATTTGTTATTTGTTAAAATGAATTATGATAATGGCTGAAAATGCATTAGGTATAGATGTATGTAATGGTTGAAACACGAAAGACAAATGTCATGGACATTGAGCACCAGAGATCTTCGGAAGTTGTTATTCACAAACTAGGAATATTCAAGGCTAAAAGATTCCAGACAAAATATGAACTACCTATGGTCATATCATGATAATGCAAATGCAATCACAATATAATTTGCAAATATTAGTCATATTAAAAACCTCTTGATTATTCAATATACATATTATATAAACAGAGGACTACTTTACCCTATTCATCTATCCATGACAAAAGTTAGTCACTGTGACCCTGGATTCCTCTTCTGGGACACAAAAGGAGGTTCAAGTGGCCCTTGTCTCCAGCACCTGACCACCATATAGAGGGTTTGAAAATATGGGGAGATAAAGTTATTTGTTCATATGAGCATATGTTGGTTATTTAATGTGACATATTTCTCAAAAAATGTGCTTTAAAAACTGAGCCAATATGATATTCTACTACAGCCCACACTTCTGTCTTGCTACATCAGTTAATATCACAGAGTTTAGATTATGCTTCAATTTTTTTTATTTAACTCATATTTGTTTCAATTTATGCATTAATATTATCACAATAGTACCAGTTTAGTATTTAAACAAAAAATAAAAAACCTCTCCACCTCTTTTCAAAGCCTCCAACAATGAGGTAAAAAATATGGATATAAACGTACAACGAACTTTAGATTCTTTTAATGAAACTAACAGTCCTATAGAGTCACCTAAAGGAATTTTTACATCATAACAAATGCTAATAAAACAAGATTCTTAAATCTTGTTTGTCAAAAATCAATACAAATCAGACAAGTGGAACTTAAAACCAACTTGTCATGACCAGTGATATAAATGAGCCCATTCAAGAAACCAACATTTTCTTTCTGTAGACAGAATCACTGAGCCCATAAGACAAAACAAGATAATGTTAGGTACTTGGTTGCCACATTTACCCTGAATAGTTCTGCTTATTCTTCCAGTGCAAATGACTTACTCCAGATTCTACATCAGTTTTAGCTTGCTTGCTTCTAATTTCAGATCATATTGAAAAGCAGTATCCGTCTTTTGTTGATTCTCACCCCCTTAGAGCTTTGTTGCTATATATTAACTCATTTTTTATTTTTTTTTTTTTTGTCATTTAGTAATGAGCATATAGTACTAGCAATATTCAATGCAAACTTTTACAGAATATGAATGCAGACTAAACTTGAGTATTGGGCTAAGTTGTGTGTTTGGGTTTCCGACAAAAAGTGTCACGCGTGTTTCTGGGATCACAGAATTATACTGCTACTTCTACAACAATAACAAAGACACTCACCAAAAAAAGTGAGAGCCACCTGCCAGCTTTTCTGGCAAGCAAAAATATCTGGTAATAAAATTAATAATATAGAGAAAAAGTAAATAATACTGTAACTATTAATAATAATAATGACAATAATAATAAATAATAATAATAATAACAAAATTTAACTCTGAAGGAAAATAAGCAAATTCCTAAGAGACAGAAGTTTCAAGAAACTATGGATGACATGAGGTGATTTCAGTACCTTTCAATGAAACTTGTTTGAGAGGAAATAACAACAGATTATCACAATTGAGAGAGGCACTTTGGGTTAAATAAGTTAACCCCTACTCAAATGTGTAGAGGTTATACAGCATTGATTTCACTTGCTGGTTCTCATTGCCTGATGATAATGGAGGATACGATTTGTGCATACTGTTACATCCTACCAATGGTAAGGAATATAGTGAACAGCTTGTCATACTCTTCAGGGAATAAAACAATTGTCTAATACCTTACCTTATAGAGAATTTACATAGTTGATCTAATATCTCCATATAATCAGGAACATGATAACTTCCAAGTGCGAGCACAAGACTGAAGACATGGGAAAAGACATGCTTTCTAATAAATGGAGCAGACTTTCTGTAAGATTCCATTTTTCATGTACAAAAATAATCTTACTGAAAGCATCTCGAAAATTAGAATCTGCTTATCATTTTACATGTCCTAATCTCTTTGTTTAGGAGAACCCACACACAAGGGATCAAGCCTCCTGTGGGTACTTCACCATATTGGATGAACCAACAATTACTTGTACACAAACCAGACAACGAGATCCTAACAAATATGGCTCGTTCACCCTACCACATTAATAGCTGTATGTGAAAAATAGGCTTTGCCATACTTCCTGATGCAGTTTCATCAGCATTATAGGAATAGTGCAGGGCCCAAACTCCTGTGATTCCCTTCCAAGATGAGAACATGACTATACTCACAAGTATAAAATTATTCACAGGTTTGGGAGAATAGCACTGCCTCATCCTGTCCTCTCACTTTCAATAGATGCCCTAGAAAGCCCTGTTAATCCCTCTCTATGCCTCCCACAGAAGAACATCCACAGAGTAGAGGCAGCTTGAGAGGGTGGGACCATAGGACCAAAGGGGTTCTCTTTCCAGAGCACTTAGTTACCCTTGTACGAGCATCTTCAAGAAGGCCTCTTCACAAAGCCTCCAATAATGCATAAGGAATCATGAGGTTGGAAGAGGATGAATGGACACATCAACAAACCACCATGTAACAGAATTAGTAGGTTTCTAATTCACATATTTCTATAAAGGTGATTGGTGATCATAATATGATAAATCTTGTTTTTGTTGTCTAGATGGACCCCGGGATGCTCTTTGTAGTTGGGGATGCTCAGGTGAGGCATCCTCAGGGGCTAGTTCTTGTTGGGAAGCAGAGAGTATGTTGTGAGCAGCCCGATCCATTTCTTCAGTGGTCATTTCCAAGGCTTCTGCAATTTCCCTTGAAGTTGTTCGTACAAATTCAGGATCACAATATTTCCCCAAACCTTGGTCAGCCAACACCTGTTAAAAGATACAATGTCTTTTCTTATACATATATCATTAACAAAGAGACACAATGATACAAAATTTATTCAACAAATTTCAAAGTGCTGACCCAGGAATTTTCCCTTATTATGCTTAACAACACCCATATTGCTGAACATAATGAGGGAAAATTCCAGGTTCTGCACTTTTACCGGGAAGTAGTCTCCCTCTCTTCTACACACCCTAATCTGAGCCTCACTGTCCTCATAAAAACTCTTGACAGCATTTTGTAACTTACCACCTATTCCATATATGTACTTGCAACATCTGCCACACTGCTCCCCTATCCACTCTATCACATGCCTGTTCTAAATCCATAAATGCAATAAAAACTTCCCTACCTTTATCTAAATACTGTTCATATATATGCTTCACCTAGGTAGTAGGTTGGTAGACAGCAACCTCCCTGCCAAGTGAGTGTAAAACGAAAGCCTGTAATTGTTTTACATGATGGTAGGATTGCTGGTGTCCTTTTTTCTGTCTCATGAGCATGCAAGATTTCAGGTACATCTTGCTACTTCTATTTACACTTAGGTCACACTACACATACATGTACAAGCATATATATACACACCCCTCTGGGTTTTCTTCTATTTTCTTTCTAGTTCTTATTCTTGTTTATTTCCTCTTATCTCCATGGGGAAGTGGAACAGAATTCTTCCTCCGTAAGCCATGCGTGTTGTAAGAGGCGACTAAAATGCCGGGAGCAAGGGGCTAGTAACCTCTTCTCCTGTATATACTATTAAATGTAAAAGGAGAAACTTTCGTTTTTCCTTTTGGGCCACCCTGCCTCGGTGGGATACAGCCGGTGTGTTGAAAGAAAGAAAGATATATGCTTCAATGTAAATACCTGATCTACACATCCCCTACCCACTCTAAAACCTCCTTGCTCATCCACAATCCTACAATCTGTCTTACCTCTAATTCTTTAAATAATAACCCTACCATACACTTTTACTGGTATACTCAGTAAACTAATTCCTCTATAATTTTTACAGTCTCTTTTGTTCCCCTTCCCTTTATATAAAGGGATTATACATGCTCTCTGCCAATCCTTAGGTACCTTCCCCTCTTTCATACATTTATTAAACAAAAATGCCAACCACTCCAACACTATATCCCCCCCTGATTTTAACATTTCTGTCATGATCCCATCAGTTCCAGCTGCTTTACCCCCTTTCATTCTACATAATGCCTCATGCACCTCCCCCACACTTACATCCTGCCCTTCTTCACTCCTAAAAGATGGTATACCTCCCTGGCCAGTGCATGAAATTACCGCCTCCCTTTCTTCGTCGACATTTAAAAGTTCCTCAAAGTATTCTCACCATCTACCCAATACCTCCATCTCCCCATCTACTAACTCTCCTACTCTGCTTTTAACTGAAAAATCCATTTGTTCCCTAGGCTTTCTTAACTTTTAACTCACTCCAAAATTTTTTCTTATTTTCATTAAAATTTCTTGAAGTGCCTCTCCCACTCTATCATCTGCTCTCCTTTTGCACTCTCTCACCACTCTCTTCACCTTTCTTTTACTCTACTCTTCTTATAACACTTTTTATAACACATAACAAAAAAAAAAAAAAATTCTAAAACAGTTGGCATCCTCTCAAAGATACATTACTGTGTACCACAAACAGCCCTACTTACACTATACTATTCACTGATCTACCCATATCTCACCTATGCTATATGTGCCTGGGGTTCCACAACGAAAAACCACCTAAAATCAATAATAACACAACAAAAGCCGCAGTGTGAATGATCACACAATCCACTGCTAGACAACACCCTTCCCCACTCGTCAAAGACCTAAACCTACTCACTATACCAAACATTCACTCATACTATTGTACAACCTATATTTACAGAACAATCAATTCTAATATGAATCCCGACCTGAAACGCTTTCTTGATAGTTGCAATAGGACTCACAGACACAACACTAAGCACAAAAACCTCTATGACATTCCCCGTGTCAGGCTAAAGCTTTTCGAAAACTCACCGTACATAAAAAGGCCCAAAATCAGGAACTCTCTGCCAGAAATCTCCAGAACCTCTGGCTCAGCTAGCATTTTTAAAACTACAGTTAAAAATCACCTTATCTCCTTAACCTATCTCAGCCCATCATAATTACATATGTAAAAACTATATATGCATTTTCTCAATGTCATGAACATAGGTAAAACTTTCTCATCAATATAATCAATATTTTTAGCATACATACATACATACAGAGGTACAAAAAAAATACAGGTAAGAGCAGCATGCCAAAGCCACTTATATGCATAGCATTACGGGCTGGCTTAAAATTAACTTAAGATTAACTAAGCAATGATGAAATCAGTGATAAAACATTATTGTAAACAGATAACTATAAAGCACAAATGAATATTACAAAGACAGGTCATATGGTTGCTTGCATTGCTGTACATTCAGTCGAATGGAGTATTCTGTTAGGTAGTGTATTTAAAAAAATAACAAAGTTAGATTGGGTCCTAGGTTTAACATTTGTGTGATATAATTGTGAGTAACATTTAGGATATACAATTTATAAGGTTCAGTTATTCAGTATTTATTTGGTTTTGAGTGAGTAAGTGATCTTTGAGAAGAGACTTGAATTTATAAACAGGTAGTGTTTCTTTTATATTTACAGGTAATGAATTCCAGATTTTAGGGCCTTTTAGGTGCATTGAGTTTTGCATAGCATGAGATGGACACGAGGAACATCAAAGAGTGATCTGTGCCTTGTGTTATGGTCATGTGTACTGTTGAGGTTGGCAAGGAGATGTTTAAGGGGAGGGTTAATATCAGAGTTAAGTGTTCTATGTATGTAATAGGTGCAGTAATAAGTATGGATGTTTTGTATGGTGAGTAGGTTGAGTGTTTTGAATATTGGTGGAGTGTGTTGCCTGTAGTGAGAATTTGTTATCATTCTAACTGCAGCCTTTTGTTGGGTAATTAGTGGTCCGAGATGGTTAATTGTTGTTGAGCCCCATGCACAAATTCCATAGGTGAGATAGGGGTAAATAAGAGAGTGATAAAGGGCCAGGAGGGCTGACTGTGGAACATAGTACCGTATCTTCGATAGTATGCCTACAGTCTTGGAAATTTTCTTAGAAATTTGTTGTATATGTGTATGAAATTTGAGTCTATTATCAAGGTGAATTCCTAAGAATTTTCCCTCTGTTAGCTTTGTGATAGGTGATCCATTTATCGTTATGTTAAGAGGTACATCTGTAGCTCTGTTACCAAACTGAATGAAGTAGGTTTTGTCAATGTTTAGTGTAAGTTTGTTAGTCCTCATCCAGGTAGATATTTTCTGTAATTCGGTGTTTACAGTATTGGCTAGCATGACTGGGCTCGGGTGAGAGAAGACGTATGTGGTGTCATCTGCAAAAAGTGTGGGTTTGAGTAATTGCGAAACATTTGGTAGGTCATTTATGTATAGGACAAAGAGAAGAGGGCCAAGGACACTTCCCTGTGGGACACCAACTGTAATTGGTTGAGCGGAAGAGCTTGCCCCATTTGCGTACACATATTGGCTTCTGTTGCTGAGGTATGACTTGAGGTAGTTGAGGGAGTGCCCTCTAATACCATAGTGTGACAATTTTACGTGGAGCAAGTCATGGTCAACTGTATCAAAAGCTTTACGTAAGTCAATGAAGATCCTCAGTGGGACTTCTTTTTTCTCTATTGCAGTGTATATATGTTCTAGCATGTGTATAATAGCATCATTAGTATTTTTTATTAGGCCTGAATCCAAATTGGCAGGGGTTTTGAGAATGTTTTGGGAGATGAGGTAGGAGTAGATTCGTTATGAATTAATTTTTCGAAGATTTTTGAGAGAGGGTGTAAATTGGATATTGGCCTATAGTTATTCAACTCTGTTTGGTCTCCTCCTTTATGGATCGGGGTGACCCTTGCTATTTTGAGAGCTGTAGGGAAGGTGGAGGATTCAATGGATTTGTTAAAGAGTGTTGCAATGATTGGTAATAGTACTTGTGACACTTTTTTGTATATAAAGGGTGGCAAGGTATTTAAATCTCCTGCCTTGTTTTTTAGTGCGTTGATAATAATGGAGACTTCGTATGGGTTAGTCGGAGCTAGGAACAGTGTGTTCGGGTAGTTGCCAGTGAGGTAGTCATTTGGTGGGGTATCTGAGCTTGGGATTTTATTGGCAAGGTTTTGTCCTATAGTGGAGAAGAAATCATTGAGTCTGTTTGCTGTTTCTGTTGGTGGGAGTTGGGGTTCATCTGATTTTGCTAATTTTATTTCGCTATTTCGTGATATCTTTTTTGTTCCCAGAATTTCTGATAGGGTTTTCCAGGTCTTTTTTATATCACCTCGTAAGTTGGATAATCTGTTCTCATAATACAATTTTTTTGCCCTTCTTATCAGGCTGGTTAGGATTGACGAGTAACGTTTTGTTTGGTCTCGGGTTATGTGACCCATTCTGTACTGTTTTTCATATCGGTGTTTTGTATTTATGGATTTGAGAATGCTGGGTGTTAGCCAGGGACTGTTCAGTCTCTTAGCTGTCATCTGTTTAGTTTTTTTTAGGGCAGTGCTTGTTATAGAGGTATTGGGTCTTTTTTAGAAAATTATTAAAACATTTGTCAATATCTGTATAGATTTCTAGCTCAGTGTGCCAGTCAATGTTTGTTACTGCTGTTGTGAAGTTATTAATGGCTGCCTCATTGTGAAGTCTGAAGGTGACTTTAGTAGTGTCTTGGGGTATTTTACCAAGAGTTGTTATGAGGAAAGTAGGGTCTGTGGTATTATCTGTAATTATGCCTGATTTTAAAGGGGATATGGTGTTGGTCCAGATGTGGTCAAGTAGGGAAACACTGGTCTCCGTAACTCTTGTAGGTTTTGTTACTGTTGGTAGCAACATGCAGTTACTCATTGTGTTTTTGAATTCAGTAACGTGTGGGTCCTGGTCTTGCAGGAGATTTATATTGAAGTCACCTGAG